ACACACACACACACACACACACACACACACACATACAGACACACATACAGACACAGGCACTCTCATTATGTTCGCTTTCCATTTAACATGCTCGCCCTCACACATCTGTGTATGATTAGATTTGTTTAGGCTACTGGTGTTACTGCCAAAAGAGTGTAGTACTGGCTGGTATCCAGAATGAATGTGCCACCATTATTGTCTGGTACACTACACACACACACACACACACACACACACACACACACACACACACACACACACACACACACACACACACACACACACACATACATATACATATATATATATGCTCTGCATTTTGTCCTGTTTCTGAGGTCAAAGTATCTAACACCTCCTTTCTTCCCTCTGCCTTCAGGACCTGTCCTGCATTGATGACCTCTCCACAAACTCTCTGTTCTCATCTCCGGCCGACTCGCTGTCGGAGTATGCCGATGCCCAGTCCTTCATCAGCACGGATAACTTGGAAGCGGTGCCCACCATCTGGGACGTCAGCACTAGTACCACCACCACACCAGCACAAAGCCAGCTAGAGGTCAGCAGCAAACACGTCATTACCACAGACATTCATGAACATGCCAACACCTAAACCTACAACTATTCTGTAGCTTAGACATTTTATAATAAGCACATGCATGTCTCTACTGCAGTTAGACACCTTCCACCAGCAGGAAACAGTCAGATTGTTCTCACTCAAATTAATACTGATCTTGCATGTTGCCGTAAGTTTCACACTTACTTGGGATATTCACTTTGAAGCTGTGTTTTTGTAGACAAACATTATCCACACGAGAACTCTTGTTTTGACCAAGGCTTCAGTGCAATCTACTCTCAACACGATTGTTTTCTTTTATGAATATTTCATCTGATAGCACGCAGAGCAGGGCAGACATGTGGCACCAGGGTTGATCAAGGGATTTTCCCTGAGTTAGACACCTATTTTATTGTGTAAATGACTGATGTTGACCAGTCATCTCCTCGGGAATTAACAATTATTTGCGGTGATCAGTAGTTTTGAACACATTTCTGAAAAGTTTTATCAAAAGCTCAGATGGTTGAAAAATAATAAAATAAGTGCCTGTGTGTTCAATGTATAAAATTGAACACAAATGAAGATAGATGCCCTTTGAACATTAACATTGTTTGTAGCCAATGTCTTCAAACACTTTTCCAAATAATCAATATGAAATCAACTGTTTGGACATTGCTGCCAGAGAACATCAGGCCTCTATCGTACCAGTTCATATTGTTTACCGTTGTCGCAGTGGAGCACAAAGAGTCAAAATTGCAGAGACATGCACAAGATGCTGTAAATAATAAATATGATTGTTTTTGTTATGTAGCATTCCTTCAAAGACAATTGTGGAACTGTACTAAATCACAGTTTCCACGCTGGTTATCTGAGGAGAGCAACTTCATTCTAAGGCTGTTGTTCTTCCATCGTTGCTCACGTTGCCGTACAGGCCTCTTTGAATCAGAAAGGTTGAACAATATCTTTTTGATATAAATCAGAGTACATTTATTTCTCTCAACCTCTGAAAGCCTTTTATGCTTTCCTTTTCATTGTGCCCTCATTTCATCCATTATGTTTCCCAGACGCACACAGCTTTATCTGCCTTTTGTTGTTGTTGTTGCCTGCTTTTCACCACCAGAGAACAAATTGCATTTTGTTGAGTGCTGCTCCATCAGACATCCCTGAAGTCACATGCTCTCATGCACATAAAGACAAACACATGCACATTCACAATGATCACTCAAGTTTTTTTTGTTTTTATTTTTTGTGCATTTGGCATGGTGTTTATTTAAGTTTGTATTTCTTCATTTTATGTTCTTTTGACAGCAGAATGGCAGCAGCAGGTTTCATGGCTTGGCCAGTTTGGATGATATAACTGCTATTATCAGCACCCCACCTTTAGGAGGATTCCAGGTAGCCTTATCGACCTCTCCGATCGTATGTTGCAAATGAATCCTCGCTCTTTGACTAGATGAGCCTGCGTTTCTCAGTAATGCAGATATATGCATCTTGCATCATATATTGAAACTGCAGTTGTTTGTTTGCAATACAAGATAGGCTTCAGACTGTTTTACATAGAAACATAACATGCCACTAATCTAAGAGTGAGGGATCAGTTATTGACAGACCGATGCATGAAGGAAGTAATTTGTGTTGAGTGAAACTGGGGCTGGGCAATAAACCAATAGCAATAATTTTTGCGATAGTATTTTCATCAATAGCAATATAACAAAATTCCAATACATATAGATATATTGCTTATGCATTGTTTAAGTACAGTGAGGAGCTATAATACATAATTTAACAACCTCAGATTTGTTAAATGTTTTACTGCCTATCAAGTGTTAGTCATTCTCTGCTCATAAACATAGATTTCAAAAACCACAACGGTAAAAAAAAGTAATCTGTTTTTAAATCTAAAACACATGATGATGTGAAACTTTTTATCTTGATATAATATTTGGTTGTATCACTCAGCCCTTAGTGAAACTGTAATGTTGTGCCTTCTTTGACGAGTCTTCATTAAACCAAATAATGAAAGCTTTGATGCAGGTTGCATATTTTGGACACTCTGCAAAAGTACATTGCACAAGGATATAAAGAAAATAATTTGATTTGATAATTATAAATAAGAAAATATACTGTGACAAGAATAAAAGCTGTGTAATATTGACTTCTCTGTCAAAATGGGACCCTCCTCATTTCCAGTTTTCTTATATAACATTCTCCTGAACATGTAAATTACTTTTCTCTGTCAACAGACAATTATTTGAAAGCACATTTTTATTCTCCTGCATAAGTTGGTTAATGTGCCTTCTCAATTAAGCTGTTTCAATCTTTCATCTGTTAATATTCCTTGATAATCAATTCTTCATGTGCTCCGCTAACATCTTACTAACTGCTCACCCACTTCTTACTGTTACAGTCGCTTTCTAAAACCATCTTCACCTAAGCTGAAAACAACTCCCAAAAGCAGCTATTGTTGAATTACACTTTCTGATAAAAATCTTTTTTTCCAGGCTAAAAGAACTCAGACTCCACCAGAGGAGGAAGAGGATGCTGAGGAAGAAGAAACAGAGGAACTGGGACATGTAGACACATATGCTGAGTACAGACCCTCGAAATGTAGGTCGCTAGACTGAATGTCAACATTCACATCGACTTATATGCATTTTCCTTTTTTATATGACATGACGCTCAAGCAGCTTTCATTAACATGTCTGTATTTTTTTCCCTCTCTTCAGCCACCATAGGAATCTCTCATCCTGACATAGTGGTGGAGACCAACACACTATCCAGTGTCCCTCCTCCTGACATCACATACACCCTCTCTATCCCTGAGTCGACTATTAACAGTGGCTTGCTGTCCGCTCTGCAGCTAGAGGCCATCATCTATGCCTGCCAGGTAAACACACAATGTGCACTTATATTTCATGTTGATTCTGTGAATGAGTCATGCTTTGGTTATATAGGTGCCTTTTGTTCATGTGTTTGCTCTTCTTGTGCCCCCAGCAACACGAGGTGATCCTTCAGAACAACCAGAGAGCAGGCTTCTTGATCGGAGATGGGGCAGGGGTCGGAAAGGGTCGCACTGTGGCAGGAATCATCCTGGAGAATTACCTTAGGGGAAGAAAGAAAGCACTGTGGTAAGAGAGATCTACTTAACTGGTTGACCCCATCCAGGAGATATAAGACAAGCTTGAAAGCTCAATAACTGTAGTCTCATCTGTTTATGACTGTGGTTTATGTGCAGTTGTATGCCAGGTTATACTGAGTGTGTTTGCGCGGTAACCAAATTAATGAATTTCCTGTTCCTGCCCTCAGGTTCAGCATATCGAATGATCTGAAATTTGATGCAGAGAGAGATCTCAAAGACATAGATGCACCGATTATTCCTGTGCATGCCTTAAACAAGGTGAGTTTTAGTTTGACAAACTGCAACAGTTTAAGTCATATGTGCATTAGAGGAGAAGAGGAAACAAAAGTAAGATGTTTTCTTCAGTTTAAAATGTTTGATTTATTTTTCCAGATAAAGTATGGAGACACAGCTACCTCAGAAGGAGTCCTGTTTGCAACTTACTCTGCGCTGATAGGAGAAAGCCAAGCTGGAGGGCAGCGGCGAACGAGAATTAAACAGATCCTGGACTGGTGCAAGCCAGACTTTGATGGAGTTGTATCCTTTCATTTTAGTTGCCATCACATGCTTCATCTGTGCAGCACAGACTGACACTGTATAGCCGTATTCAGACATGAACTATCTTCAGATATAAAGAAGACTGATGTAGATTCTCCTCTCCGACGTATTCGCAAATACAGAGAAATCTTTAGAGTGTTCAGGTGAGGGGTGGCGCAGCATGCAGGACGCTGGGCATAATGTTTTTAATTCTGCTGCGGAGATCACATGTATTTTCTTTGTTTATATCACATCAACACTGGTGTCTGCCCATATCACCAAAAGCTCTGTAATTTTGTCTTTCTACATTGCCATCTTTATTGGTGTCTTCTTCTTAATAGCTCCTCTTTTCCATCCCGAGATATTTGTTTCCTTTTCGCTTTTTTATTTTTTTATTTTTGCATGTGCAGCGTGTTGTGAATCCTCTGGGTTACTCCTACTGTTTTCTCACACAGGCTCATTCGGACATTATGCATATTTTTATGAACAGGCTGGCAGGAGAGACTCCAGAGAATGTCTGGAGCAACTAACTCGGACATTTGTGTACAAAAAAACATACTTACATCCAACAGTCGTTTTAGACATTGCACCACTGTGTTGTTTGCCCTTAACCTTTCACCATTACAGATTATTTTTGATGAATGCCACAAAGCCAAGAATGCCACATCCACAAAGATGGGCAAGGCAGTGCTTGACCTGCAAAACAAGCTGCCACGGGCCAGAGTGGTGTATGCCAGTGCCACAGGTAAGACGACGAACACATAAAACACACATTCATACACCCAATCCAACACAGCTGAAAATGTTAAATATTTATTTTGGTCTTCTCCGCCACAGGTGCCTCTGAGCCAAAGAACATGATCTATATGAGCCGCCTGGGAATCTGGGGTGAGGGCACGCCCTTCAGAGCATTCGATGACTTCCTGCACACCATCGAGAAGAGGTCAGTAGCATTGGATGCTACAGAAATTCACTCTGAACATTAAGTCTTCATTTCAATCATGTGAATACATGTGTTCCTACCACTGCGCTAACTGGGAACCAGTCTGCAGGTATGGCTGCTTAACCTGTGATTTAATTATGTTGACTAATGTATATGCTGTTTGCATACAGAGGTGTCGGGGCCATGGAGATTGTTGCCATGGACATGAAAGTGAGCGGTATGTACATTGCCAGGCAGCTGAGCTTCTCAGGGGTATCTTTCCGCGTTGAAGAGATCAGACTGGACAGTGACTTCAAACTGGTCTATAACAAAGCTGCCAAACTGGTGAGCATCAAGCCTCTCACAAACTGTTTTTAATATGTGTGAGTTAAAAAACATATTACATTAAACTAAAAATCAAAATGGAATCTGTGTCCAGTGGGCGGAGGCATTGCAAGTTTTCTTGCGTGCAGCGGATGAGCTGGGCCTGGTTAGCAGGAAGTCTCTGTGGGGGCAGTTCTGGTCGTCTCACCAACGCTTCTTCAAATACCTCTGCATCGCTGCCAAGGTCCGCTGCCTGGTGGAGCTGGCCCAAAAGGAGCTGCAGGCCGGAAAGGTCAGTACAACACACTCTGTAACACTGAGTCATATTGTGTATGTGTTTAATCTTGAAAATGAGGAGTGGAGAAAGACTTTAAGCATAGGAAATATTTAGTGTTATATAGGGTTGTCAATACTTTGCTTGTCTACAGTAACAACTTGTATGTTATTTATTTCATCTTGTCTACACCCGAGCATGTGTTTCCAAAAGTGACTTTTTTTGGGTTGAGATTATCAGAAAATGCTGTTAACAGATCAGTGTCTTATTCAAACTATTGACTTCATCGAAATGTATTACATTTTATTCCTCCACAGTGCATCGTTGTTGGCCTTCAGTCGACCGGAGAGTCTCGTACCAGAGAAGTCCTGGATGAGAATGATGGACATCTGGACAGATTTGTCTCTGCAGCAGAGTGAGTACAATCTGGAAAGAATTGTCTGTTTGTTTGTATATTGATACATATATTCAAAAGGTAATTTACTAAAAATGACAGCAGTAAAGTTTTTGAGAAGTTATTATTGTCTGTTTGCCATGTCAGTCATGTTAGATTCTATTTTGTTGCTTCAACACTGGCAAACGATTTCCCAAGCCGAAGGTCCTCACCGCTTACATTCTATAAATGAAGTATTCAGGCCATGTGGTTTCAGTCCGCACCATTTATCCTCAATGAGGCCAGGCATTATTAGCAGCTATTTAATTATCAAACATCTTATCCAAGAGTAACAAGAAAAGGGGAGAGGTGCTAAGTGCTCTGAACTTGTTTGACTCCAAGCCTCTCACAGCAGACATGCCTGAGTGTCTGAGTAGAATAGATCTCACACACACACACACACACACACACACACACACAACATATTCATTTGCCTGTCAGCTCCTGACACTGATAATGAGAACGCATCAGGAATGTACGGAGTCTAACTGGCAGACCTGCCCTGGGTCGTCCCGATCACTTTCCAAAATAAATAAGTTTCTTTTTGCTCTTCTCTTTCTTTTTGCTTTAGGGGAGTATTCCAGTCTCTGGTATCGAAGCATTTCCCTTCAGAGAAACAGAGGAGAGAGAAGGCACCAGGCAATAAGAGAAAACGTAAGTGAATAGAAGGCCAATGTCGCCATAGCTGCTTTCAGACATGCACTGGAGTCCGCAGATCCTCTGTATTTTCTCTGGAGGAGGTGCATGTGTGAACGCAAATGTGAGACACTCTGCAAATGTGAGACTGCAGTTTCTATGGACTTTATCCTCCTGTCCTCCTAGTACAAAGCCTGGAGAAATCCAGAAGTAACAATTTAAAAGTGAACAAAGCATTGATTGTACATATATATTTGTGTAAATCGGTTGTTTGTGGCATATTTGATACAAATTAAAAACACTCTTCTTCTACATTAATTTCTTGAACTGTTATAAAAAAGATTGCAAATGTTTTGTTGTTTCAATTCTAACTTTAATTTCATGTCCAATCAGGGAAGCCTAGAGGGCGCCACCACAAGGTACCCAAGCACACGGTGGACAGCGGCGGTGTGATCAACATCACTGATGACAGCAGTAGTGACTCCGACGGCATGGACACAGACTCCAACTCCTCACCCGACTCCCTGCTGGACAACGATGATGTCATCTTTGTGAACCACACTAGCTGCCAGACAGGTAGGGAGGTGCTTGTGTGATCTTTGGTTTGTGTTGTCAGGAGGGTGGTGAAGACACCAACTCCCACAATCCTACGCTGCTTCACATTGTTATTAAAACTAGGTCTTTTGTTATTGTTCTGATGGAGAGACCCCTAGCAGCCGAAGTTCCATATTATACATTTAAGCTTCTGTTATTTTAGTGACTCTCACCTGTTTGAGTTAGATGGTTAAAGTCCCCTCTGCATTATGTTCACAGCGAGGATAGAGGAGATGAAGCAGGGCCTCCTCAACAAAATATCCCAGCTGGGAAAAGAACTACCTCTCAACACCTTGGATGAGCTCATTGATAAGTTTGGCGGACCAGATAAAGTCTCAGAGGTACCAGCCTTACACTCAGAAACTCTCCAGCTGTTGTTTTTACTTGAGGCATGCGAACAAAAGTATTGTTTTGTGTGCAGATGACCGGTCGTAAGGGTCGTGTGGTTCGGCGTCCTGATGGCAGCGTCCGTTATGAGTCACGGGCTGAGCAGGGTCTCACCATCGACCACATCAACTTAAAGGAAAAAGACCGCTTCATGGGTGGAGAGAAGGTCGGTGCTTCAATAAATCTTTCATTTTGAGACCGCTAGTAACGTGCTGCTTTCTAAACATTGTTTGTGAAAGATTCCCACCAATAATCCAACCCTCTCTCTTTTTTCCAGTGTGTGGCTATCATCTCAGAGGCAGCCAGCTCTGGGATTTCCCTGCAGGCGGACAAACGAGTGAAAAACCAGAGGCGCAGAGTCCACATGACCCTGGAGCTACCTTGGAGTGCAGACAGAGCTATTCAGCAGTTTGGTGAGTCAAGTAGTTGAATCTTTCAAATTAAAAGGGTCAGTAAAAGCTTCAGAAAAAAAAGGGACATTTTTCTTCTTGCCTTTTAAAAGTAACTGCCACAGAAGAGGACTGAAGAAACTCATTACATCTCATGCCACCTGAAACAATACGTGACTTGTAACGTAAAAAGCAGCAACCTTAGGGTCAAAGGATATCAGGAATGTTAAGAGAGAAATTTGTTTAAGATTAGTTTCTTCTTTAATGCCAGAAACCATTCATAGCCTAATTTTATTTCTCACTCTTGTGTATAGGTATTTTTTCAAATTAGGACAAATGTGTCATCTCAGTGAAACTCTGCAGGTTATGAGAGGTTGTGGTTGCTTTCGGCTATTTCATATGGTAAATTCCAACCGTTTCAGTTATTTTGATACTGAAGATCAGTCCTGCTCTGACGCAAGTGACAAAGATTTAGAAAAACTTTCACTGCATCTTTTACACACACACAGACACACACACACACACACACACACACACAAACACAATGGACTGAACTCTCTGCCACTCCAATGCTTTCTGGTGTTGAAACAGGCGACCTGACAGAGAGCGTGTGGGGTTCAGATTCATGTTTGTCTGCTCTGCTCTCAGCTGCTCTTCACCTTGTTTTTCTCTGGACTCCTCAACCGGAAAACAAAACATTTTATTGATCCTGAGCTGATCAATCACTTGATTAATCGATCATAGTCCTTTCCCTTCCACTGCTTGTATTGGTCACTCAAGTGTCTAACCCTAACCCCAAAATCAAGGGAAACAGTATATAGTTAACTAGATCAAATGATCTCTAGTTAAATATAACAAAGGACATCTTTAGACCAGTTTCCATGGCGATTTTTCTTACTACACAACGTGGCTACCATTGGGGTTGTTGTTTTTTTTATCAGGAATTGTTAGGCACACCTGTTTACTTGGATATATACGATTTATATGATTTTGGTGGTCAGAGGGCAAGGTCACGGTGGCCTCTTGAATGTGATATCTCTAAACCAACTGGGGGGATTTCCTCCAATTTTTGACCAGTTGTCACTCAGATCAGCTGATCAGATTTCATTGGTCAAAGGCCACAGTGACATATATACGAATTTGGAAAAAAATATTATGTAGACAAAAACTACACTACACAAATACATTGTGATCTCACTGATGAGCTCCTCCTCTGAGGTTAAAGGTGAGTTAATCTAAAGCCATTTTCAGACATGACCTGTGGGTAAAGGCCAGAGAATTGGGTTACCTGCAGTTTGCCTTTCACACATGCACAACACAGTGGGAGGTTCTCTGTACAGACGCATTTACAACAGCAACAAATCCTCTGCATTATTCAGGCCAAAGGTGGAGCAGACAGAGGCAGGAAGCGACGTATTAACCACGTGGTGGAGATCACGTGATTTAATCATTAAAAAATTATAAAATCACATAGATACCGTTATCACCCAAAACTAAAAACCTTTCAAACAGCCAGTCTTGAATGTCAAATTTACATCAAGGCAACTTTCCTCTCCGAAATCTCCCTCTTTACGTCTCCTTACACTTGTACCGTACTTTATCGGTGAACCCCTTAATCTACCACAGCTGCTCAACTGTAAATACAATTAACCTAAGCCTGGGCTCTGTGACATGACATCATGGTTTTCAGGTTGCCCACCATGGCTGTGGTTCCCAGGGGGCTGTTTGGTGGAGCACAGACCTGGAGAGCAGATCCCTGCTGTGAATAGACAATCTCTCTCCCCTCCTTTAGCTCTGAAAAGTCCTTACCGTTCTGAAAGGGAGGGTTAGGAAACTTCTCTCAACTCTGAGCAAGGAGGGAACAGAAATTTGGGATGTGGAGGTGTGGATGACTATGTTGCTAGGTTTGAAACATGTTATTGAACAAATGGAGAAACCAATAGTCCTAGAGACAGACTTTTGTCTCTTTATCAAGATATGGCATAATTATGAACACCCTGTTTAAAAGCCATACTTTCAAACTATTTGATATCATTCAGGGCTCCAGAATGTGAGCATTTTGGTCGCACATGCGAATAACTGAATAACTTGATAACCCAATTTTATCCTCTGCTTAAGAAACTCTAGAGCCTCTTACAACTTCACCCTACGCCAAACAGCTTTCAGCTGAAAAGTTATTTTTGAGGCTAAGATGCTTCATGAATAACTTCTATCTTTACCACAATCAAGTATTTTTGTCAGTTTATGAGCATGGTTTACTAACCAAGTTATCTTTTGTTCCTGTCATCTGGACAGTCTTTCTCAAGAATTCTCTTAGTTAGTTTTAAGTATGGAGGGAAATTCTTAGGAAACATCATGATTCTAAGAATAGTATCATTTCATTACTGGAAGCAGCTTTTTGTATCGGGAAGCTTCTGGGATACAGCTGCACATTTCTTGTTATTCAATGTCACAGATCTGCTTCTGATTATTTATCTGTTTTACACCGATCTCATCACCATCATCTTCTCCTTGTCTTCTCAGGTCGAACCCATCGGTCTAATCAGGTGACGGCCCCAGAGTACATCTTCCTCATCTCAGAGTTGGCAGGGGAGAGACGTTTTGCCTCCATTGTGGCAAAGAGACTAGAGAGCCTGGTAAATATAACTGCCTTATGAATATATTTGTGTGAGTCCGCGCGTTGCATTTATTCTTTTTTTAAAAATTTTTTCACCATCATGTTTACTTTATTTTATCCTTTAAACTGGTTGAAATCTGACACATGGGGAAATAATCCTTTTCATCTTGTTGTTGTATAGGGTGTGAAAAGAATTGTTCCATTGTAAACACAGATCGGTATTTTATGTTTATTGATTGTTGCCATCGACACTTTCACTTGCATCTTTGCCCTTTCCTCAGCCTCTGTCCTTCCTGTTTTGTGGGGTATTCCCCACTCAAGACGCTCTCTATTGAAGCTCTTTTGTTGTTGCTGCGCTTGATGATACATCAATTCTCCTCTGCAAACCTCAAGAGATTTTTTGGTCTTTCCCCTGATTCGGCTCCATAATGGAAAACTGAATAAGCAGAAAAAAGGGCCAAGGAGCTCGTCTGGATAATTTATAAGTCTATGGTTATTTTCCACAATTATCAATGCATTTCAGCACAAGCAGTCATTTATTTCCATGGTGACACAGCATGACAGTTCTTTTTGGGAAGAGGGCGAGGAGGGTTCGAGGGGATGGCAGTTCCAGGAAGTCGTTCCTGTGTCTGCCAGCCCCGTTCGGTAAATCTGCATCAAGAAAAGGTCACATCTCATCCACTTGCCGGCCTGAACCCGATATAACACACACACACGCAGAGTCCCTTTAGCTAGACAGCGGAATACCTTTGTAACAGGCTAACTACAGATCAGCAGTGAAGTCATATTTGGCTCAGACATCTCTTTGTTATGGAATCTCAAAGCATTTTTCTGTGTGGGTAGAGACCACAGCTGGTTACAAGGCTGGTCTGCTGCTGACTTGGCTTTGTGTAACATTTCTTTCACCTCCCTCGTAGTTTAGTTAAAATCTGTTAAGCCCTGAAAACCGTCATAAAGCAGCCAACAAAGTCATGTCAGGAGTCAGCTAAAGAAAAGTTTCCACCTCACACCTCATTGGCTTCCTCTGACACAGTGCCACAGACCAGGCAGGGTAAAATCAAATCAAATCAAATTTTATTTGTATAGCCCAAATTCACAAAACACATTTTGCCTCAGAGGGCTTTACAATCTGTACAGGTAGTGACACCCTCTGTCCTTAGACCCTCGGTTCGAGTGAGGAAAAACTTGCCCACAAAAAACCCTTTTAACAGGGTAGTCACACTATTTAGTGTGTGTGTGTGTGCGTGCGTGTAATAACTTTTAACTGCATTTAACAGAGTTTGGATGATTCAAATAAGATAACTGTCAAAGGTTCCACATACATCAATAATAAACCACAGAGTTATATCAGAACTATTGTAAAAATATGTCAAATGGTGTTTGATAATTTGGCTGATAAGTAAAAATTTCAAACATTTAATGGTTTCAGTTTCTCCAAATCGCAGATGTCTTGGCCTCCTTGTCTCATACATCTGAAGATATCAATAGACCAAGTGGCATATGGAAAAAAAACGAATTAGCAGTTTGACTGATTTTGAAAAAAGATGTAGCTTGCAGCTCTAAGTGAAAATGGTTGTTTAAGTGTTGACAGTGGAGAGTGCACTGTGAAACAATCTTCAAACCATCAGGTGCCGTTTTAAAAGATTTAAAAAGTTAATGCAATGTACATAACGTCCACATGACAATCATGATAAGTAACTCTGAAGGAGAAGAACAGAGTTATTAGAATTATTTTAGGTCCTCATTGATATGATGATGTTACAATGTAATTTTATTGTTATCTTATAGGAATTGTATAGTCACCATATATATCAATCTATTTGTGAGTTGTTAGTTGTTGAAGTAATTTCCTCTCATGCCTAATCCGAGCATTGAGGTCAGGTTGTATGTGCGGGTTAGGTTTCATCACTGTGTCGTCTGTGTTAATATCATCACGCTCCGATGGCTGCAACTGTAGCAACTTCTGCTACTAATAATTATAATATTAATTTGCTTTGCAGGGGGCTTTAACACACGGAGACAGAAGAGCCACTGAATCCAGAGACCTGAGCAAGTACAATTTTGAAAACAAGGTGAGCAAATTTAAGAACTTCTGGACTTTAAAATTCTCACCTTTAAAGTATAAAGTGCTTCTTTTTCATTCAACTACTTAGATCTATCTCTCCTTTAGCAGTGCACGGGATCTCACATGTAAACTGTTAAGTTGTGTTTCTAAACTGCTGAAAGCTCCGTCTGAAAGACTTTCCTTTTCCCCTGCAGTACGGTACCAAGGCTTTGGATAAGATCACCAAAGCAATCCTTGGCCACATAGAGAACAAAGTGCCCCCTCCCAAAGGTTACCCAGGAGGTGATGCCATCTTTTTCAGAGGTATGTCAGCATCTGTAAACAAAGAAATGACTAAATCAGAGTTAAACTGTGATTCATCAGTGAAACAAATATGTTTTTCTTTATTTCAGAAATGAAACTTGGAATGATGGATGTAGGGATCTTTTGTAAGGAGCCGCGCTTTGGGATCAGTACAGAGAAAGGTAGAGTACTAAAAGACAGACATACACCTCAGCCACATTGTGGGATCATCTGTCAACAGACAAGTAGTTGTAATAACTGTTTTGTGTTCTGTTTTTATCTCAGACTGCAGCATCACCAAGTTCCTAAATCGTATCCTGGGCCTGGAGGTCCACAAGCAGAACTATCTCTTCCAGTACTTCACTGATAACTTTGATTATCTAATCGAGAAGGACAAGAAGGAGGGCAAATACGACATGGGAATCTTAGGTAGGAACAAGAGTTACTCAGAAATATTAAGGTTAATTGAAGTAATCAATTATTAATCCTAATGAGATTCAAAATAACAACAACAAAAAAATTAATGGGATCTGCTATCACCTTAGAATGCATTGAGAGACCTTTTTTCACTCATACTAGACTACAACTAAGTTATGAAGGAATTATATTGGTATTGTTTGTAGACCACACAGCAGTTACTGTTCCTCTCATCAGTTATGTGTGTGTCAACATGCAGAACGTTCAGACTGGACTGTAATTGGCTCTTGAGGATTGATTTTTAAAACCTCTAATCATTTTATGTGTGTAATTAATTTTTGGTTCACATGTGCTGTTGTGTCTCTGACAGACCTGGCCCCAGGTAATGATGAGATCTATGAGGAGAAGCAGGAATCTTTCCTGACAGTTGGAAACCCTCAGGATGGACAGGTTGTTCTCTATAAGGTAGGTTAGGTGTATCAGTGAATAACTGGTCTCCATTATGTTGTGAGACAGTGGTCATATCCTGGGTTATCGTGTCCATTGCTGTCTACAGTGAAAATAAAGTGTCCCCTACATGGATCTGTATCTCGATCAGAGGTTCCCAAACCAAACTGTTAACCCATGACCCCCAAAATAACCGTGGCAAAGACTTGCAACCTCCGTTATCCAAAAGGCTATTGATCTGAGCCAATTCACTTTCATGCACAGGTTGCAATGATTGTTTCTGTGGTGCTGTAAATTACACTGCAGTAGCTAATGCTGTCACACGAAGACAAACAGAGAAGTATTTTTCAGGTTTTGTCACATTTATGGTTAAAATACGCTATTTTGAATTTTAAAACTGTATTTGATTTCTGGAAATCATCTTGCAACACTCCATCTGTGACTCACAATCCTCCAGGGGGTCCTGACCCCTAGTTTGGCAACCACTGATCCAGATATCAGCCTGGGGAGGGGCAGCAGGTAGTCTGATCAGCACAGACATTATGCAAGCCAGGACCAGTCTTTTTTTAAAAGCAGGTAAAGCTTGCGTTTCGGGTTTTTTCTCCCCTTTGCATCAAGTCCGATGTAACGCACCAACTCTTGTCAAACGTTGTTACTGTCACTGCCGATCAGAGCTGGAACTGTTGAAAACCTGTCTAATGCTGAGTCATTTGACCCAGGAGAGAATGCTGATTGTATCCATTCCCATTGCAGACAGAAGCCAGATGTTAGCAGGTGTTTGTGGGTTTATTTGACCAGTGAAAAAGGGGCTTAAGACGTGGCTTTTTTTGCCTTGAAAAAAATGAATACTACTTTGTTTCACTGGGCATTGTGAATCAAACAGATCTTTAAATACACATGATGTCTAGAAAGCTCAAAGCTATGGTTTTCAAATCTTCAGATTTGTCCACTAGATAGTTCATGTTCAATGGCAAGTGTTTAAAGACCCCATGTACATGACTCATACCAGTGTCTATTTATTAAGATTTTTAATTGCACAGTTTTGCATGGCTAAATACAACAGTGTAATTTGATCACTCTCACACATAACTAGAGTAGAAACATCTGCAGTTGAATAAGGTTTGAGGCCAATTTGCTTGCAGTTCGACTGTGATCATACAGGATTAGCCCAGGGCTGAGGAACCTATGTAGACAATAGTTGTAGGTGGGAACAGGATAATTACTAGTATATCCTGCTTTTAGCTGTAGGCTGCAGGCTAACCTGCATTTGACATTTCAAAGTTGGCAGCAGAACAGAATGCGGCACAGCCAGGACCAGTTTAGCAAGTTGGGTTCATGCCTGGGTTTGTATAACTATATGTTTTGAATTATGCATTCAGTTTTTATGCAAGAGTGTGTCTCACTTCAGGAAAGCGGTTTATGGTTGTTTGACAGTTTAGCTCACGCTTAGTCTTTTTTTTGGCCCTTGCAGATCAGTGTCGACAGAGGTATGCCCTGGGATGAGGCCTACAACAGGTCATTGAAGCTCAGCGGCCCTGATGAGGGATTCTACCTGTCCCAGAAGGTGAGTCCTTCTTATTGATATAATCCATACGCACAGAGTAACAATGTGATGTCACAGTTGATGCTCACTGAATCTGGATTTTCTTCCAACAAAAATTCACTGTCTGTGTGGCCTCTCCACAGCTGCGAGGAAACCACCCATGTGTGCTGCTGGCTGAGCAAGGACGAGGCAAGAACTTCATCGTCTTCAAGCCCAATATCGGCAAGCAAAGCCACCCAGAGAGCCTGGAAAACCTACACCAACGTTACCGGAAGGTAATGACCCAATTTTCTTGTCAGTGACTGTATGAAGTCTCAGTTTATTTGAGAAAAAATTGTCATTGCGGGAAAGGTTTGATATTAGACGGAGGCTGCACATTTTCAGGGGCGATTCCTCATGTCTCCTGAAATTATTTGATGTGAAGTCGTCATTTGGATTATTTACAATGTGGAGTCTGCTGCCTCCTTGTGGCACTGCAGGAGCAATGGAACAGGCAATGCTCAAGGCATATAAATATGACAGCGGGGAAGTTGAAGTTCCTTTTGCTTCTAAATAACGCTGTTCCTAGTTCCCTTCCTCCCTACACCAACAACAGATTATATATGTAGGGGAAACCTAATATTACTTTCGGTTAGATGTTAAAGACACCTCATTATTACCAAAGTTCCTGTGTTATGAAAGATGTAAATCTACAGTTTCATCATGAAATCTTTGTAAAATTCTGCGTATGCTTCTTCCTGCAGGTGACTCCAGAAGAAGCCAGAGACAGTTGGGAGAACCAGTTCACCTTCTCCTTCAAGAAGTGCAGCCATGCCAACTGGTAAGCAGGAATCCACACTGTCCCGTGGGATTAATGGCTCACCACATGCAATCAGCCTGGTACTTATTAGGATTCAGTTAGGGTGCTTTTAAGGTCAGGGGCCATTCCCAGGGATTTGCAGATCACCTGAGAACTCATGAAACAATGACTCGCAAGTAACACGTGTGCCTTCTTCGCATTCTCATGCTAGTACTGAGTCGGCTCCTCAACCTGGTATACATAAGCATTTGGATAAAAATATATAGGCTTTTTGAATGTATGGATGAATTGTTTTTCTTCTCTTACTTTTCCTTAGGAATGGGAAGTGTAAGAAAATTGAGGAAGGCCAGGAGTGTCTGCAGGGCATGCGGCTGCGTCAGTACCACATGTTGTGTGGTGCTCTACTGCGTGTGTGGAAGCGAGTGTCCGACGTGGTGTCTGACATCACCAGCTCCAGCATCTTGCAGATTGTCCGTCTTAGAACAAAGCAGCACAACAAGCAAGTCGGTAAGTACATCACCCTTCAAATAATCTCACCAACCGACTATTTGTACTAGCTTTCTAAATATCTCTCAGATTTCACACCTGTATAAACTTTTAACCCGTAGATGAAGAGAAGACCCAGATTTCCAGATGAGTTGTTTTGATGGTAGCATACGATGTTTTCTGACAAGTTCTTATGACATAAAATGTTTTTTATTTGTCTCCATGAGCACTACGTTTATACTAACCGGCTTAAGATGCTATCAGCCCCAAAATAAAGAATGTGTTGCAGTTCAGTACAGAGAGACAGCCATGAAAATATGAAAGTGTAAGGACACCTACTGGAGAAGCAGTGTATGTTCAATTTTCTCTGCGCGGCAAATATATAAAAGAAAAGTACAAATATGTATCATATAGTGGACCACTGTTTACTGCTGCTGGTTATACATGTGCTAATGATTTTTACATGTGTTAAGTTATAAAATAGATTTGACTGTTTTCTCACAACTAACTGGCCTGACCTGTTCTCTCCTATCAAAGGTATCAAGATCCCAGAGAACTGCGTGGCCCGTGTGCGGGAGGAGCTGTTGCTAATGGACGAGGAGGTGAAGAGGAGGCGAAAGGAGAAGGAGCAGCAGGCCGTGGAGCAGCGGCTGGCCGAGGAGCGCATGCGTAAAATGGAGCAAGATAACAAGCACCTCCTGGCGAATCTGTTCAACCAGAAGCCCATGCTTAACCAGTCCCTCGCTCAGTCTCTCACCCAAAGCCAGATCCTCAAACTGAAACTGAACCAAAACCCTCTGTTGAGGACACAGACTGGGAGCTTCTCTCAGTTGCAGAGAATGCCAGGCCAGAGCCAGTCCGCCTTACAGCCACCCTCCCAGAGCTTACCCCTGTTGTCCTTACAGAGAAATCCCAGCCAAACGCAGCAGCAACAACGGACCCATAACAGCTGGCCCAACAATCCCACCACCAACAACAGCAACAACAGCAACAACCAGGGATCTCTGCCCAATGCCGTTAGCCTCAGCTCCAATTTCTCTCAGTTTTACCCCCAGTCTTTCCTTTCCTCTTTTCCACAGCTGAAGAACCCGTCTCTTCCACTCAATCAGGCCACACTGTCTCAAAGCTTGTCTTCCAAGAATCCCCTGAATGAGATCTTGGACCTGACTGTCAGCTCCTCATCGCCCTCCCCAGACAGCACGGAGGGCGGGCTGCCTCTTGATACTCTGGCCGGACACGCATCATTCGACTTTAACCTGGAGTCTCTGATTTCCCAGAGTGCATTGAATGCCCAGCACGCTGCACAAATACAGCAGCCTCTTTTGCTACAACAGCAGCACCAGCAGCAGCAACATCTGCAGGTGACACAACAGCAGCAGCAGCAACAGCAGCAACAACAGCAGCAGCAGCAACAACAACAACAACATCTGCAAGCGACGCAGCAGCAGAATCACAACCTGCTCACCAATAACCACCATCAGAACCTGTTAGATTTATTTGACGTGCCCCTTTCTCCCCAGATGCCCACACAGAAAGTCAGCCCTTCATCCTCCGCTTCCTCCTGCTCTTCCTCCACGTCCTGCGCCTCGTCTGTGTCAAACAACCTGGTCTCTCACGTGCCCGGTGGTCTCCCACCTGCATCCACCCTCATCCCAACATCATCCCCCTCTTCTCTCTTCTCCAACCCGTCCTCCTCTTCTTCTCTGTTTCCCAGCCCTTCCCCTTGCTTCTCTCCCTCCTTTCTACTCCCACAGTCCGACTCTCTGTCCTTACCCAACGGCCACTGCAGTTCTGCCACTCTCGACGTCCGCGAGGCGCTGAACAGCATGCTTCAGGCCGGTCCAGATCGCAAGTCTGTCATCCAGTACCTGCCACAAGACTGAGAGCTTAGTTATGTCAACAGCTCGGACTGTATTTTTCTTAAAGTATTTTTTTGTTTGAAAGCAGATTGCGTCTTGTTTGCTGCTGTCTACGATCGCACCCTCGGACCTATTCCCTCTCCCCTCAGGGCCTATAGTCACGTCACTGCCTGTCCTGCGCTCTGCTCACCCCCTCTCTCTACCCACCTGTAGCATTCACCTGCTTGAGGCTGTCGAGGTGATGGTGGGCTCGATCAACACCAGATTTCTTCACCAAAGTGTGTCCTCCACAGTGAAAGGCAGCTGTTAAAAGAAAAGTGAAATAAAAAAATCACGTGATAACTGTATTTTATTGAACATGCGAGCTGTCCAAACAAAAGCTCATTCATCGAGGTGTGGAAATCTTAAAAATAAAACCTCCCGCTGCTGATTTTTTTGTACGAGGAATGATCAGCGAAGTTGCTGGAAGCTCGAAATGCCTTTCCCCAGTTAACACCACATCTTTTTCGACTTTGCTTTACTGTTACTTCGCTTCTCGGCCATTTGTCTTGGCTAAATCAAGGCTGTATGCAAGGCTTGGTTTAAGTGAAAACAAAAGATGGTGTTGAACTGGAAGACAAGGAGACAAAAAACAGAAAAACATCAAATCTGTTAGCTGATTAGCCATGAAATGCCTCAGTTTTCATTCTTTCCTCTACGAGCTCCCTCTTGTTTCTCTCCCTGCCTGTATGAACACTAGAGTGAGGAAAAAGGGAGAGGAAGAGCAGTCTGCTGTTGCGAACAGTGCCTTTGGAGAAATCTATAAATGCAGTCTAAAAATCCATGTAGCCTAATGTATAGATTTGTATTTTTGAGCATTGGTTTTGATTTTTATTTAATATGTTGTATTTCTATTTAACTATTAGCCCCCCTTTAGTCAGTCGTTCATCGTTTGTGTTACACTATGCTGGTGGCGGCTTTCAGGAAGAAGCCTCCATCAAGCCTGTATGTGCTTGTTTGATGGTCTGTGGAGCCGTGACATGTGCTGGGAGCTCAGTATGGCACAAACAAGTCGAGCAGCATTGATAAAGAAAATCTTTTCTTTTTCTTTCCTTTTTTTTTTTTAAAGCTGACAGTAACATTGAGCGACATGACTCCTGATTTGATTTGGCTTTGAATTTCTCAGGAAAGTCTCAAGTGTTTTTGTGGGGTTGTTTCATGTGTCATTTTTCATCAATGATGGGAAATTTACATAGTTTCAGTCTTGAATTACAGATGATGACAAAGAATTAAATTCTCTCAAGGTTTAAGAAGAAAACCCTTTTGTTTTGTAATACTTTGACAGTATCAACACTTTTGGTTACGTTTTCTCAAACACTGGGTTCAAGAAGAGTTCAAAATAAAACAAATATCTACAGAAACTTGTTTCCATTTCAGGCTTTACTGCTATAAAAAAAACTACGTTTGACACGTGTAGACTTGTAACAGTAGGTCTTTAAAAACCTGTGAGATCTGGCCATCTACGAGTGAAACCGATGCACTGTTCATGACAAGATGTTGGGATACATTCAAGTGATCAAAAAGCAATAAAACCATATTCTACATTTGAGATGGAACAGAAAAGCCTCATTACTGTTAAAGCTCAACAGGCAAAGCTTTATAGCTTCTTTGCATGGTATGAATCTTCTTTTTTCTGTTTTGCTTCAAAGTCTTTCAGTTAATCAGAGTCAACCTTTGTACAGTGAGTTTTCCGGGATGAGCGCAATGCGTTCTTGATGTTTTAGTCATCGTTATTATAAAAGTTATTGTTATTTATATTTAAGGGAAATTTAGATTTTAGATATGTTATTCTGCTTATTAGAATAGTTAAGAAAAATGTTTGGTCAGGGACGTATGTTGTTGTCAAGATTGCTATAAAACAAATTCTATTATAACCTGCCACCAAATAAGATTGCACTGTTCTGTACTGCTGTACAGTGTCTGGATTTATTTTGACTCATTTCATTTCGCTTTTTTTGTTGTTGTTTTCTCAAGTACAATTGTTTCTCCAACTTCTTCTGTCAGGCCTTCAGTTCACAGAGAGATACCAAAGTATTCCACGAGACACCCCTAAAGTTACTGGCTCTAAGATATCAGACCTTTTTATCAATCTCAGGAAGAAAAACCTATAAGAGGTTTAACAGCGGGGCGTTAACAGAAATATATCATTTTCCCCTAATAACAAGTGGTGAAACTAACCAATACACGTGCTGTCTTTTCTTAACTTTGTGCTGTGACTCTTGCTGTATTTATGTTTTAGACTTAATGTGATGGGTTTGTAGTTTGTCCTTGTGAAGATGTCAGTGATTCTACATGTTTATGCCTTCTTAGGGCAAAGATCAAATGCTGTTTCTTTTTTAAGGAACATGATTTTTCTGTGGATGTTTTTATTTGTATTTTTTTTTTCCTCGTAACTTTTTGCAGTCGTCGGACGTTTAATTCCTGTTGAAGCTGACAGACATTTGAGTCGATGTGCACCCAGGTTATACTGAAACGTGCAATTGATCAGTCGCAGCCTTTTCTCTCTCCCTAAGTGTAACAGCAGTTTAGGTTCATAGTGACTCACTCACTCACAGTATATACGCTCAATTTTTTTTTTATTGCAGAATCTTGAAGTAGCACGTTTTCCTCGTACCCTTGTTAATTTTGCTTTCAATATTCCTCATCAGGCACATTCCAAGACATCAGTCTGCAAAAGATTTGCCTTCGACTCTGTGTGTTACAGTCACACAAATAAAGCTTTATGCATTTGAGGGATACAGAGCATCTTTAGGAAGAAAAAGCTTCTTTTTTTTTTTTAAAACAAATCATTTAACAGTGTAGTAAGGCCTTTTATCATTTTGTTATCATTTTGCACTAAGAATGGCATAATCAAGTTACTGTTCTCTTGTTGGTTATGATTGGGCGTTGCAAGCTTGTTGTGTTTCTTATCTTCGATGGATTGCTCTGTGTATAGTGAACCATCTCTCCTGTTTCTCCACCGTTTGCATATTATATAAATGTTATTACTCTCAAATAATTTATTGCTAACAAAAAAAATGAAACAAAAAACATGCTACTGATTGTATGTATTTTTAAACAAAGCCTATTTTTTCTGTACAAAAAAGAAACTGTGTTCAGCACTTTTATTCTGGGTTGTGCTTTTGTTTTCTATATATTTATAATTTAGATCCAAATGTATATATTGTAAAATTTGTGCCTTTCGACTAATTCTTTAAAAAGGTTTTCTACTCATTAAAGGAAGGACTATATGAAATTGCAATCTTAACTTTGTAAACAAATAAAAACTTGAAGATTGCTGAAGCCGAGCTTTGTTTGTTCAAAGGTTATCCCGCCAAGTTTAAAGTTTAAGAAAAAGGCTTTGATCGTATTTCCTGTGGCTTCATTGTGGTTTCACATAGGAAGAGACAGCATGTGAAACGACACACCTCATTTGTTTAAACAACTAACGTTAACTGTGATGATGATATGGGACACATATAAACTGCTGTGATGAAAAGATGCAAAGTTCACTCAGATAGACACTAACTTTTTATATATAGGTATATGAGTGTTTCTGTTTTCTGCCTCACACACAATATACTGTTATTCTTCTCCAAGCACAGCTATAGTTCGTATTTACTTTGCTGATAAAGATTTAATTTATAAAATCCAAGATCAGTTCATAAAATGTGATTTATTTATTATAGACAGTTCTAACATTTGGCTCCCACGTGAGCCAACAATATATGAAATTGGTGCTTACGTATTGGTGCACAACAGAGAAATATACATAAATATAACAGTGAAAATGATTAGTCATTCTGCTGAAAATAGCTCTAGACCTTTACAAACTTAAGACTTTTGGAGCAAGAACCTGTATTAACGTTTTATGTTGATGCATTGCAATTGAATCAGAATAGCCCTGAGTAGAGCACCAAGGTCCATGTGTTCAGATCTGCATCAATATTGAATGAGTTCTTTCTTGGTCCATATCCCATCCTTCCCGCAAGTTTTCTGGAAATCCAACCAGAGGTTTCTGCACAATCCTGCTGATAAAAAACAAACTAACATGAAAACGTAACCTCTGTGGAGGAAATAAAGAAGTAAATAACCAGAGTATAATCTTCCAATACTGATAAAAAGTACAGGCTACTCTGAGCTCAGTAACCAACCAGAAGTCTTAATATTTACATAAAATGAATACAAAAAAGTAGTTTATCTGTACTAAATTATATATACTGATGATAATCTCACAATGATGGATGAATTGCTGAACAGTCTGGTTTCAGGTTTCAATGCTACTTTCTAAACAGCTGTTTAAATGCGGGGGCTGTGTTAGGGAGGGCGAGGGCCCGTTCACGCATGATGGCGTGGGGTCCCATCATATTGAAATCAATGCATCTACACACTCACAACAAGATATGTAAAATTATAAATCAAACAAGAGTCTCTATTTCAAATGTCAAGTTCCCTTTTATAGCTGTAAACAAACTGCACAGTTCAAGGAAGTAAACTGTCATAAAATAAAGTGGTATCATTATCGATCTGTCAGGTTTGGACTGCCTTTTATGAATACATGTATTTCCAGTCCTGAAAAATGTAAGAGAAGCAGCTCAGGACTCACTGATTTCGGTTTTACTTTTCTTGGCAGCAACACAACTGGGTGGAGGACTTTTGTTTACGAGGACACACTTCCGGTTGCTTGGTGACGCCGCGCTGCGTGATGACGTCGCGAAACTCACCTTTACGTCCTGTCGCGGTCGCCACGCCTCCTCACCTGTCCTCTGGAGGATTCAGGAGAAACTCGTGAGGCTCCAGAAAAGAGACGCGGCGGAGGAGCGAGACTCCTCAGAAGAGGTTCCCCGGCGGAGAGTCGTGAAGCTGCTGGACGAGTGGAGGGACAGCGGCGGACAGGAAACACTGAGCCCACAGACAGGACGTCCACAGGTGGGTTAGCTTCTCCTCTGCTTCCTGGTACACACAGGTGGAGCATGGCTGTCAGTCCAGTGAGTCCACAAACGTCAGCAGAATGACGAGAGGGACACGAAGCTGGAGAGAAACATTTACTGAAGTTATTTACAAGAAAACGTAACATGTCTAATACCATAGGTGTGACTGTAACCTCATTTCAAAATAAGATCCAGGCGAGCTAGCTAGCTTAGAGTTAGCTTTGAGCATTTCCACCCCTACAACTCACGGCTAGATATGTAGAAAAGTTAAAGTCTAATGGTGGCATCACTTGTTTATTTAAGTTTTTACAGGCCTGTGTGCCAGTTCTTGTTGTTATCATGGTGTGTGGTTTGTTATTTACTATATTTTACTGCAGCATATTTGATGCTAGCTTTAGCATAAGCACCTGTGTGTCGTGGGTTCTCGTTTTTGTTGCCTTTTTCCGGTGTAAACACCGACCTTGTCAGGACCAGTGTACCTCATGGGGACCGAGGCTCAGTCCTAATGAGGCAACACATCCTTTCTGAGCCCCTGGTTTAAATTGGGATTAAGATGTGAATTGTGGTTGGGTATGAACTGGTCATGGTCAAGGTGAGGAGAAGGTCCACAATGATTAGAAGTCAATTTAAAGTCTTAAGGATATCTGCATCCACATTTTTATAAGAAAGCAGTGTGTGTGTAGGTGGGTGGGTGGGTGGGTGGCTGACAGCTTCAAGCCCCACTTTCCCTCAACCTCACCGTACTGGTTCTGCCACACATGCAAGTTTCTACCTGTTTGCCAGCAGAGTTTCACAACAGTTTCGACTCCACATTCCCAAACAGCTGCGTCTTTCTTTCCCTTCGCTCTAATCAGTGGATTGAACTGATGCACTGTCTGATTGAGGACGTCCCGGTGCTTCAAGTACGGGTGTCATGTACTTGTTTGTCTGCAGTTTCCTGTGACAGGTCATTTTCTCGAGCTGGGTCCATGTGGATTTTATATATTTACAACTTGAATCAAATGAAGTGTTTTGATTTTGAGTGTGAAAGATGTCTGACAGGAACATCACCTATTTGATGATGTATATTGTGATTAAGTACATTCCATGAAAATTAAAACAGGGTTTTTCGTGCAAATCTTCATCACATTGGTGACGTCTGGGAATCTCTTATTTCTATACAGCTTTCCTCCCCATTTATTAGCACTGTTGCCCACTGTGGTCAAGAATGGTACTCAGTAGAGCAGATATCTCTGCCAATGCCCAACAGCGTCTTTATGAAATCCCATTTAAATCTCCTGATTTTCAGATATCAGTCCTCTAAATATGTCAGATTGTTTTCTTTGGCCCATGTCCCATCTGTGTGGTA